TATTGCCTATGAATTAAAATGAAAATAAATCCGTAATTCAATATACATTTATCATTCAATTGTGTCCTAGCATGTAAATGACATTAATTACTTACCCCGAGCCTGATCACCACAAATCAAGCACTTTACTGACATATCCTCAGCCATTTTTAAATAATTTCTTACACTTAATGCAAAATTTATTACAAAACAATTATTGTTTTATTGAAATTCTTAGTGCAAAATGTGATAATTTAGGAGCACCAGATAAAATGTTTTATATTAACCTTTAACAATTTCAGGACACAGATAAGAATATTTTATGATACTTTCTATTGATTTATGAAAGTTCATCATTCAAATTATATTCTCTAATATGTAATATATCTAACTTTAATTATTATTAAATTGACTTTATAATAGAAAAATATGTACACAATTTTACTATGATTAAGACACAATTACCGTACATATCAAAGGCATAAGTTAAATTTATATGAAAATGTTAGCGTTTAAAACAATTTATACATACAAGTATACGGAACATGAATAAAACATATAATTTATTACTATGATAATTTTTAATTAATTAATGATAAATATTTAGTTAAGGACTAATGTCATTGTGTACATTATAAATCTCATTGAGCAGTTCACCACAATCTACTTTTTCAGTAGCTTTATGTTCATAAACACATTGAATATGACTTAAATACATAGCATGCAAATACTTGATTGTTTTGATTAGTCGCAAGAATCGGGATTTGGATTCAACTTCTGAACGATATCTCAGTAATAAATAGCGTTTTAATAAATACATGTAAATGTATTGATGAAACCTACAAAGTAAATCAATAGTAAGTAAATTGATTAATATTTTAAATACTTTTAACTTACTTCACAACCTCTTTATGTTGTAGTTTTGGTCGATTGGGATTAAATAATACAATAGCTGTCATCTATAAAATGATTAAATAATTTTTTATTTAAATAATTAGATTATTTTGTATTTATACCAAATCCAGAATATTCTGATCGGAGTCCCACTCATTGTAAAACATATGATAATACTTAACGCTTGCGTTATATAAATACAACTTTCGCTCTTTGATTGCATCAAAATTAGCCACAACTGAGTTGATTGGATCCGTCTATTATTAGAATAATTGATATTTATTACAAATATTGCCTTGTTAATTAGCACATATTATACGTGTAGACTCACAGCCGGTAAAATTAAGGCTCTATTATGTGTATTATAGCCGACTATCGCCCGCATGAATACAATTTGAATGCAACCATACTTAATGAGTGTGATTTGATCGTTAAGACAATTGGTCCTGAATAGGGCCAGTCGTTTGGACATTGGGATCAACTTTGCGATCACTTGTTTCAAATTGACAGCAAATGCACACATCGTATCGTAATAAGTGTTGGTCTCGGAGGTGACCATTCCGTTACGACACCTCAACATTTGCGACAGACTTAGGATTTCTGTCAGTCTATTGCTCTCCACTTCATTCAAGTTGTTGTTGTAATCAGTGATGGGTCTTATGATCGACATCACCGGTAGCTCAGAGTCTGACTCCATGTCCATTGCACACACTTCTGGACTATTATTTTGACAATTATTTAAACTAGGATTTGATATCATATCAGGAATTATGTTTGAATGGACAGCCATTGGAACGGACACGCTATCAGGTGTTGATGTGGTCTTTATTTTGCTTTTGTTTTTCCTTTCGTTGACTTTCTTTAATTTTAACTTAATTTTCTCTTTTCGTAACTTTTTCTCATAATCCGTTAAAATTAATTCCTAATAATATTTATTGTAATTAATTTGTAAGATTAATGCATCAAGGTTTACAAACCTTTATCATTCCACTGGCAAAACATTTATTTAATCGACACTTTTGACAAAATTTTCTCGTCAACAAAGTTATATTACATTTGCCCACAAATGGACATAATAGCGAGTCCTTTAATAAATTTTGAAACAAATTCAATAAAGTTTTAACTTTAAAAACATAATGGTTTTAGTCTTTAATACTTCTCTGAACGCATTTCTCCGGAAGAATGCTTTACATGAAACACAGGACAGGACATTGAAGTTATAACCTATAATCATATAAGGTTTAGGTTTATATGTACTCGGTACTATCTTAAATGTTAGTATTAAATAGAAAGTATACTTAGTATAGTATTAAATAAACCAAATAATGAAATTAATAAACCTTATTTTGTACTTACCTTTAGCCCTATCGTTACAAATAACACATTTAGCATGAGATAATGTATCCATACTTTAATTATATGCAATATATTAAATGTTAAATATATTTTGAAAAACTAAAAAATATGTTTCAATGAATATCTTTTTAGTATTTGTATACAAAATATTTTATTTTATTTTCATGAACATTATCATTGGTGTATAAGTTTCTAAGGAAACTAATTATCGTAGAAAATATGCTCCCAATACCATAACTAATCATTCATTTGCACTTAATAATGTATGATTGTTTGTTCAAATAACTAGTAATGTCAATTAATTAAATAAATTAAAACATATTTTATATATAATTAATAAAAAATAAAACTTGTGGTGTTTATATTGTAAGAGTATTGTGAATGGATTTGCAAATTGACATCTTGTATATTAAAAACCTGTATCTAATTTACTATTAAATAAATTTTTACAGAGTTCTTGGCATAAGGAATTAAGAAATTTAATATTTTACACAAATATTATAAAGCAAAATTTATTTAATATATACAATAAAATTTACACATAAGTTAAATCATAAATTTCATTGAGTAGTCCTCCGCAGTCAACCACTTCGACTGCCCGGTGCTCTTCGAGGCACTGAAGATTTTTTTGGTATAAATTATGTAAATATTTTATAACATTCATTAATCGCAAGAATTTGGCCAACGATTCACTATCGGACCGGTATTTCAATAACAGATATCGTTTCAATAAATACATGTACACGTGTTGTTGATATCTGGACAACATTTTCATGATAAGTAACAAGCTTTAATGTGGCTTATTATGTAACTCACTTAACCAACATCCGGTGCTGTAGGCTGGGCCGATTGGGATCAAATAAAATTATAGCCGTCAACTGTACATACATTTATATAAAATTAAATACTTTATATACAATACAAAACTCAATTTATATACCAAATCCACAATAGTCTCGTCACAATCCCATTCCCTCACAAATTCTTGAAAATACTTAACATGGGCTTTATATAAATACTGCTTTTCTTGGTTTATTGCATCCAGGTATATGACCACAGATTGCGTCGGGTCCTCCTAATAAATCAAATAAAAATACATGTTAATTTCCCATTTGATTATACAGTGGGGCACATACATCGGGAACAACTAAATGATTAGTGTCCGCATTATAGCCAATGATTTGTCTCAAGTATACCATTTCGATGCTTCCGTACTTAATGAGGGCGATCTGATCGCTCACACAAACGGCGTTAAATAGTGTCAGCCTTTTAGACATCGACACCAATTTGTCAATCACTTGCTCCATGTGCTCAGCTATGGCTTCCATGGCGTCCAAATAGGTATTGGCCACCGATTTGACCGATCCGTACGGCATCTTCAATATATGGGAAGCGCTCAACAGTTCCGTCAGTCGATTGCTTTCCATAGCATTGAAGTTGTTGTTGTAATCAGTGATGGGTCTCACGATTGGTATAATTGGGAACTCAGACACCTTTGAAATGCTGGGTTTATGTGTCCACACAATCGTGTTCTTAGTTGTGTCGACACTTTTCTCGATGTCAATGATTTGTGCCTTAATTTTCTCATCACTAATACTGTTGTCGAGAAATATTTGAGTCATGAAATCGCAGTCAACACTACTGTTCCCGGAATCTGTGGTCGACTTATCATCAGTTGTCGTCTTTTTTTGAGAATTAAGTTTTAATTTCATTAGCTTTTCGGCTCTCCTTTTGCTCCTTAACTCCAATTCTCGTTCACTTAAAATTAAGTCCTAATTGAAAAACAATTATAAATTAATTTTCACAGTCATTGCATATGTTTTCTAAAATAATACTTTTTTCATTCCCACTTCTAAACACTTATTTAGTCGACATTTTTGACAAAACTTTCTGGTAATCAGATTTAGATCACATTTACCCTCAAATGGACACTTGAAATGGTTCTGAATTATAACAAAAGGTTAAGCTGTAAAGTATACTTAATAATTATTTTTATAATAATCACCTCATCCTTGAGGGCATTCCTCCGGAAGAATGCCTTACATGAGCCACAGGTGAGGACATTGAAGTTATAGCCTATCCATGAATTAATTAAAAGTTATTGCGAAACAATATTTAGTAATGTAGACAGGTACAACTAGTTTTATAAGAATTTGTTGCTTTTAGAGTTAACATACCGCTAGCCTTATCATCACAAACAACACATTTCTTGATCACTTCAGTCGATGCCATTATAATCACAGAATTTTAAATGTTTTTAATGTAGCATGAATATTTCAATTATTTTATTGTATAAAATCTAAACACCTGTAAAGGTAAAGTACTAGATCATTAATAATATAGCAGTAATTTATTTAAAAAGTACCTGCGTATTCATTTTAAACAAACAATATCATTAATTTAGTGTTTTAAAATGCAAACTTATTATTAATATTATAATATATTTTAAATATATACAACATTAAATACTAAATGATAAATTAATTTAATTTAAAATCACTTAAAAATAAATATCCATGTCAATATTGCTATGAATATAATATTGGCTAACAAATAGTAGTCATAATTGTTTTGATTTAAACGGCAGAGTTTGCGCATTTAATTTTCTAAACTAACAACGACCTTGGATATTAGTTGAGTACAATTGGGTTTACAAATGAAATGCTCATGAATAGGAAAACCGGTCAAATAAAATACTACAAATAAATACAACATACAATTTATTACTAGTATTTTATCCTTCAAATGAATTCAACAATTACTAGACATCTAAACACAATTTGATTTGATGTGCATATCATTTATTTATTGTTAATATCGATGGTTAAAAATTACTATTGATTAAAAATATAACTATGCTAGAAAAATTAGATGAGCATTTGAAAAAATAATCGCAAAAAAAGTCTACGACACCAGGTATTCCCAGGTGGTCTCCCTGCGAGGTACTAACCCGGCTCAACACTGCTTAACTTCGGTGAATCTGATGAGTACCGGTGCTTTCAGTGTGATGTGGCCGTAGACATTGACTTACCCATTGAATTGACACAACTTTCATATGGCACTGACCTCATCAATAATATGTACAATAATATTTACAATAATATGTACAATAATATGTACTAGAGCACATGCGTTTGTTTCTATTTAACAGTGAGGTGTCCGTACAATAAGTATACTCACGTCTACGGCCACATCACACTGAAAGCACCGGTACTCATCAGATCACCGAAGTTAAGCAGTGTTGAGCCGGGTTAGTACCTGGCAGGGAGACCACCTGGGAATACCTGGTGTCGTAGACTTTTTTGCGATTATTTTCAGATTATATTTTATCTTAGAAAATTATGCACATGTTTATTTTTAAAAACCATATTTTATTTTTTAAAAATAAATTTATAATAATTGATTAATTTTAGAAATCATTTTATTAGAGTTAGCTATTTATGAGTAACAAGTTATAACAGTTATGTTTATATAAATGCAAGTATTGTAAAATTCTTAATTGATTAACAATTTACAAATAATGATTTAACCCAAATACCTCCCGGAGCAGTGGTCCGAGTGAGTTGGGCTCCAGTCCCGCCCCGTTGTTCCACACGGTATGACCCAATTGGTTAATATCGGGCATCAGTTTCATTAGCCATAAGAAACGTCTTCTCGCCTCTGATTCCGACCGATATTTCAATTCGAAATAACGGTAAAGTATCCCACCCCGTTGTTCCACACGGTATGACCCAATTGGTTAATATCGGGCATCAGTTTCATTAGCCATAAGAAACGTCTTCTCGCCTCTGATTCCGACCGATATTTCAATTCGAAATAACGGTAAAGTAAATGAATGTATGATTTCTGGTGAAGTCTACCCACAATTGAAATAAATGAACACTTGATATACTAGAGTATAATTTATTTGATATACACTTATAAAACTTACGAAACGGTGTCCGTATGCGTGAGGTGTGGGCGGTTGGGATTGAATAGTAGTATAGCTGTCAACTAAATTCAATAAATTAAAAATTATAGATATTTCATTTTACAAAAAAAATCACTTTCATACCAAATCCACAATAACGGTGTCGTTGTCTATTTGTGGTATAATTTTGTAGAAAAATGTTTTGTACACATCGTATATATTACTTGTCTTGGACTTTTTGATCACATCTAGTGGTAACAGTACTGAACATTTGTCATTCTGCAAGAATNGTTGTCTATTTGTGGTATAATTTTGTAAAAAAATGTTTTGTACACATCGTATATATTATTTGTCTTGGACTTTTTGATCACATCTAGTGGTAACAGTACTGAACATTTGTCATTCTGGACAAATGGTATCAAAAAATAATCCAAATTGTTAAATATTGTAAACACCATTAATTTATCAATTATGAATACATACCAGGTTAAGTGTCCAGCACTGAGTGTTTACATCAAATATGGTTACAGCGCCCATATTGAGTATATCACTGCCCCCATACTTCATCAGGGCTATTTGGTCATCAGTACACAAGCTCTTGAATGCCCGCAAATTATTTGCGGCATTTAAAATATATAAAGTCATTCAATATCTTCCGAGATGACAGATTGTTTAATATCTCGCTTATTAGATATAGCAAAAATCTATGCTCTGGTACACTTAAAGTTCATTATGAGGTAGTAATGAAAAAACACAAATATTCTGTATGTCCTTAAGAATATTCTGTGATATTGGATGATTTGCTGGACCCATAGTCAGCGCAAAGATTACTAATGTTAAAAATTATTTGGAGTAAGGATATGTTCTTATTTAAGTAAATACATTATAAGTGATACTTATTAAAATAATTTAATAATTTAATATTTACTCCTTCAAATAAAATTTAATAATTATTTTTACATTAAATCTTATTCTGCTAAGCAATTTAAATTTTTATTTAATTGAAAATCTTATATATATTATTAATTCTGTACAATAACTTAGGTTGCTCAATAAATGTTACTTTTTATTAGCCACATTATTAGTCAAAATTACTTTGTTTTGTTACTCATTTTAAAGTAATAAATCTTATTTAAGTAAATACATTATAAGTGATACTTATTAAAATAATTTAATAATTTAATATTTACTCCTTCAAATAAAATTTAATAATTATTTTTACATTAAATCTTATTCTGCTAAGCAATTTAAATTTCTTATTTAAGTAAATACAGTATAAGTGATACTTATTAAAACAATTTAATAATTTAATATTTACTCCTTCAAGTAAAATTTAATAATTATTTTTACATTAAATCTTATTCTGCTAAGCAATTTAAATGAAAAGATAAATTACACAATAAATCATTGTAAAAATAAAATTATGATTAACATGATAATATCTTGATCAATAATTAGCATTATATACCAAAATATTAATATCTGTATATTGTAAGATTTTGGGTTATTTTAGTAAATGTTAGATCACTGATAGCTTTAATATTATTTTACATAATATTTATGATAGCTTATGAATATGATATATATATTTATATATGAGAATTTGATGGCTTTAGTAATTTTAGCTTTGCTTATATTTTTACTAAATAAAATACACTATTTCACAATGAAAGTTTTATTTTATTAAACTTTGAACATTAATTAAGTCTTAATGATTAAGACATTAATAAGCATAACATAAACGGAATTACATGACCAAGAACTGAATGATTCTGTCTTTTTTAAGTCTATTAAGTCGTGTACGTACTTATGAATGTAGCAAGGTATATTTAAAATTGTTAGACATTTTTATCACTAATCTCTTGTAAAATAATTTTTGATGAAAATATATTCATCGAGTAATTTGGAAAAATATATAAAAATTAAATGAATATTTATAAAACATTCATACAAAATACTTTTGATTAATACAAATATGACTCAAATTAAAAATAAATTCAATAAATAAATAATAGTTTCAATAAATGCATGACTAAAACTTAATTTTAATCATATTTAATCTGTATTTTTTCAAATTACTCGATGAATATATTTTTATCAAAAATTATTTTATAAGAGATTAGTGATAAAAATTACTAACAATTTTAATATACCTTGCATCATTCATAAGAACTACACGACTTAAAAGACTTTAAAAAGACAGAAACATTCAGTTCCTATACATGACTTAATACATATTATAGGCGCATTTCCCCTGATCAAAATAGGTTGGCATGGGACAGGGATCATCGATTTCACAAAAACTATAAGTGATAATCAAGTTCTGATTCTTGGAAATGATGCGCGAGATCATTTCTAGAAAAGTAATTTCTGGATTTGCCGAAATACTTCTTCGTTGATTTTTAATAATTTTATAAATGTCAAAAAAATGGCTTATTTAGGCTTATTTTTCTCAGCAAGGGCGAAATATATCGGGGTAGTCTCAACTGTGTTCGAATGGTCTTTCAAAATACTAAAAATTATCTGCTGGCACCTACCCTGTAATACTTACAACAAGCTTTATATTCTAGAAATAAATATTCTCTATGTATTTAAT